GGAAAATATTTTCCTAATTCCCTGGAAAATAATGCCAACCAAACAAGATCTAAAATACTTCTAGTTTCTAGTTTTTTGGTTGATCAATGGATTTTCACAGCTTTTTTGCAAGTTTGATTATGTCGTCAACTCAAAATATATGCGTTCGCCACTGCTCTTAGGCTCATTGTTTGGTTTGAACAGCTGGTTTGGGATGAATGGGAAGGAGAGAGACGAGATTAATGCCTTTAGAAGTTAAAATGGGCATGTTTGATTTTAATTTCTTTTTATTATTATTAAAAATGAATATTTCCTAGTAGACGTGGGTTTCATTGCCCCGTGTATTGCCATATATACTAACTATGGTAGTCGCGACTATGAATAGTAATATTCTTGTAGATACGATTGCAATTAGCATCCAATATCTAGCAGCACACGCATCAAATATACATACCCAAAAAACAAACTAAAAACTAGCAACCAAATAGTAAGATTTAGATTCTACAAATGCTTAAAACAACAAAAATCAATTGCTATGAAAATAGCATAACAATCAACATTGTTGACTTTTCTTTTCATACTATGATTTCCTTTGCATCACATCTGGTTATTGGATTTGGGTGAATTAATTGTAAAAAGGGATAAATTAGGTTCTATAGTTGGATATCCACAGTTTCAGTTATATAACCAAAATTCGTCTGGAACCATATTTATTCTTGATTCTCGGTTTTCAAGAAATGACCTAAACCTCCAATTCAGATTCAAAAGGTCCGATTCTGGTTAAAATGCTCATCACTAATTTAAAAAATAGGGATTAATTCTATCAATAAGATAGTGTAACGCGGCATTTCAAAATAGCATTCGGAAGAATGCTACCATATGTGATAGACAACATTCTTTGATTGCTATTACAGAGTTAATTTGTTGCAGTGCATCAATAAGAACATAGAATTTGAGCTTCATTGATTTCCACCGAAGATACGACTTTCTATCTCTTGGGTTGTCCATCCTGTTGAGGAAATCTCTGGTTTTTAAACCTTGGCTTCTTTTAGTCTTAAATACTGCACAGATCCGACCGTTAACTAATAACTAGCTCCGCTATGCAAATTCTTCATCTGCAGGGTCTAAGTATTGGCTTAGCTTGCTTGGCTTAACACCCTCTACTTGTGCCTTTGATAGAACAAGGAGTTGCTCATTTAGACATAATTACAGTAAAAAAGTGGCTGAATGGCATAAAGTTAAATTATTGTCACAAGAACAAGCTGCACAATAAATTGAAATTATTTATTCTATCAACAATTTCTTCTAGAGTCACAGGCGAAGAAAACATGACAATAATGTGATCTCAAATCAGGAATTTACATCCTAAAAAAAAGAAAGAAATTGGTATTGTAATCAGTATTTTTCTGCTATCTCTTGCAGGCAGGAACACAGTTCTCGTGGTTTAGAGAACATAGCCATGTGATCTGCACCAGGAATCATTTTCACCTCATCGCATGGATTATTTTCAATCACCCACTTCTGGAATCCCTGCTTTATACTATTTTCATTTTCACAAATCAAATAAACACGCGGAACTGAACCATAGTTTTCTTTTGAAAGAGCCATTTCTTTCTGAAATTCTGGTCTATGGTAGAAAACTACTGGTCTCATCAACAAGGTTGCAAGAGACATATCCTGTTAAAATCGAATTCAAAAAATTAGGACAGAAGTTTCCTGTGTCTAGGCATTCCAATTTTCAAATACAGCAATGACATATATGCTCGACTGAACAGGACATGATGGGAAAGAATTAAAGAAAAATGAATGCATGCTAATCATTGCATATGTTTGTGACTAAGAGGGTTGCTAGTGGCATACAATGTTGAAAGATAAAGCATGAAACATATAAAAGTAGTGCAAATACATATACGAGATTTCTGTGTGTACATTAATCAACCATAATTTAGTAAATGTTGGTATTCTAACCTCAGGAGGGGACAACTGATAAAACTGACTAGATAAAAACTTGGGACCAAAGAGGAAGGACGTGGGAAGTTTGTCCGCTCCATTTCCGAATGTAAATTGGCTATCCATGTAATCCAGCTGTTTGTGATACTGTACATAAGCCAAGAATTATGCTATTAGCATACAAGATTCAATGTATTATAGCCCATCAGGGTAAAAACATTCCATTATTTGCACCTATTTTCTTTCTATAAGCCTAACATTTATTTTGTTCAAGAAAGAAAGTGAAGAGGATTTGCAAGTCATCACCTCTTGACGAATGGCAAGAATGTCAGTATCAGGACTAGGCACGAAGGATGAGATGAAAACAGCAACTTCAATTTTCTGAGGGAACCTTTCCATGGCAAGGGATATGCAAAATCCACCAAGGCTATGGCCAACCAGAATCACCCTCTCTTCTGGCGTCAAAGCCGCCATAAATTCCAGCAATGGGTTGCAGTAGTCGGAGAAGGAGGTGAGCTCCTCCAAACGCTTAGGATGAACACCTGCAGCTGCCATGTCAAGGGCTGTGACTCGGTGGCCTTTGGACCTTAGAAGAGTCACCACTTTGTACCAACACCATGCACCGTGGCATGCTCCATGAACCAGCACAAAATGCTTCGGTTTCTCACTCTTCTCCATTGTCTTGCTATTGGTTCTCTATTCTTACCTTTCATTTAAGAGATCTGTTTTAGCATCTGTAAACTTACATGTTTCTCAGTTTCAATCAAATGACTTAAATATAGTGGACCTGAGCGTCATAATCTAGGGCGGACATCAATTTCACGGTCATTTTAGTGTTGGACGTTTCCTAATACGTGGTTCTGTATTTTCCAGTCCCTCTGTTCACGACGAAGGGGACGAGAATGAAATAGGAGTGTAGTGACAAAAAATGGCGGCCCAAAATTTAGGGAGAGCTCTATAAATATTTTAGAAAGTTACACAAATGTCTAAATGCAATTTCGTTTATCACTTACGCGTTCTAAATTAATATCATATCTATTTTCTTCATCCTCCAAATTTTCTTGCTCATGATCCACTATGTTCTCACGCTCTCTATTCATATCATCTTCACTTGAACCTTCTCATTTTTAAATTCTCCATCAACCAAATCTCAAGTGAACTTTCATTTTTATTATTAATATTACTATCAAAAAACTTGTCCATCAAATAAACTCTTCAAATTTTTTTAATTTTTCTTTTCTTTTTTTATTTCTAAACAAATACTTTTTAGTAGACATATTAGAGAAACACACAACACAAATACAAGATCAAACTTTAAATTAGTTGAGAAATAATCAAACCTGGTAAGAGATATCGATCTTCACAAGAAAAATATCATAAACTAAATTTATCAAGAAAATTAACATATGGATCGTTAACATTTAAATTCAAAGAGAGCTGATTCATTATAAAAAGCATAAATTCTTACCGAAATGACCTTTTTCCTTGTTCGGTTTATAAAGGGTTAAAGGAAAATGGTGTGTGAAAGATTAAGGGATAAAGTAGGTAGGTAAAGGGGTCTAGCATCATCCAAGAAAGTAATGGCAACTTTATGTGATGAGTTTTAGGTTTTGAGAACTGTTATTCTTTTATTCATTTTAAACCGCACATGTTTTAATCAAATGACATTTTCTATCACATTAATAATTTTGCTTCTTTTTTAACCATATATTTCTCATCACATCAACTAAAAAATTGCATTATTTCCACAAAAAATGCAGAGGCTTAGTATCACTTATGTTAAAATGTGGATACATATTGTACTAATGTGATATTAAATAAAGAACATAATTAAATGACTCACTTAAATGCACATTTCATTGAACTTATAACATCACGCAACCTACACAGATGTTGTAGTACCACTAATGTTAGATAGCATTAATCTTTAGGTTTAGTGCAAGTCATGTTTTTAGGCCATTTATCCTGAATTTATTTATTTATTTATTT